TGGTATAATGTCAGTCCGGTCTTCTTGCCACCATTAAAAAACCGGGGGGGGATCCACCCTTCATATTTTTTAAATATTTATTACACACACAAAACTACACACTAGATCACTAAAACTACTCTACTAACAACTGAAATATGTACATTAATTAATATAGGTTCATTTTGTTTTCACTGACAGCTCCCATGAGGCTTCTCCTTTTCTGACCTCTCTCTAGGTCTTACTCCTAGGAAACTAAACTTTTGGGGCTATTAGATTGAGAGTTAGTGCCCTGTATGCAATTTGTTAGTTATGTCACCCATATGTCACAGATGGGGACACAGTATTGAGCATAAGGTCAAAAAAGGGCTATATAATTTATAAGTGTATATTGATATATAGAAAAAGATTAATATTGAGGATTCAAATTAAATCCTTTTAAATAATTAAGTTATATTTGTTTCTAGTCACTTTGTTTCAGTGTATGGTAAATGTAATTTGAAGATTTGTGACAACTAGGAAATATTAAAAATCTTTTTCCTAAATTCATATTAACATGAAATATCTTTCAGTTATCAGTATGCTGAATATTATCATCAATATCAATAATTTTATACAAAGCACCTCAATGCTTTGTATAAAATCTAATATTTTCATTGAACTCAATAAATTCATGCTACTAAGATGACAGAGAAAAATAATGTGTATTAAAGCAAGTTACTATTTTATGTAAGTGGTACAGTACATTTTTTACATTCTATTAAGTGATAAAATTTAAAAACTATTTTAATGGAAAAAAAAAAAAAAAAAAATCTGAAAGCTTTTAGATTTTATATTACCCCTAAAGGGGTTTTTTTTTTTTTTTTTTTTTTTTTTTTTTTACAGATACATACACATTTCAAGAGCATTTGGGCTGACGCCACATTGTGCTAAAAATATTTAAGAACAGCATATCTTAAGAATTTCCGATAGACAGTTTCACATGCTGGAGATAAGATGTTTTATTTCCTTCAGTGTTGCCAGTGCTTGCTTTGAAACTGTTGATATTACGCCCAAAGGGGCATTTTGTTAATTTTTCTTATGCTACCTTTATTTATTAAATATCATGTTCTTTGCACTTAAACCATAAAATTCAATTCAACAACAATATCACTTGAGCATATCTTCAGAATTTCATATACACAGTTTCGTGCTCGTTGGAGATAAAAATGTTTTTTCCTCCCTGCACAATTTTGCCATTGCTTGCTTTGAAATCGTTGTGTTTTTTAATCAAAAGTTTGTTAAAGTTTTGCAAAATATCAAATAGACAGTAAAACAAATTCGAAATTCCGAATTCAGGCTTCCATGTGCCCATGTTCCTGTAGAGGACTATGTTATTCAAAATTTGATGACTCTTGGCACCATCGTTTTTTCACAATGTGAGAAACATACATACATTCATGTAGATTCTTCATTATTAATTTCTTTAAGTATATTCTATAACAGGGTGATAATATTTGGTGGCAACAATTTGAAAAGTGATTTGACGTAAAATGCAATTTTAAGACTAATAGAGCTTCTGGTCTAATAAGACAAATTTATATAAAATTCTCAAAAATTTAATGTATGACAACAATTATTCATCATTTTGTATAATTACATTTACTTCAACTCCTGAAGAGACTCCAAAATTTTAAGTCTTTAAACAATAATAAACTGTTAGATATTGTAACGTATTTGCATTGCTATGCTACCAAACATGTTACCAGTAAGAAATGTAACGAAACCTTGTGTGTAAGTATCCGTGCTTGAAAATGCAGGCACTTAAAATGTTTTTCAGTTTTTTATAAGACTGACTAATAAAATTGGTTGTTCTATCTAAATGGCAAGATTTCTTTAAAATCTCCATTACAGACATATAAAAAGAAATATATATATTGCATGGCAGTGTGGTGGGATGTTTGTTGTGATGGAGCAGTTTAGCTTAAACTCCTTCTCTCATAGGGGACTTTTCAAAGAAAAGTTTTATTTTCAACTCTGTGGAAGTTTCAAGAAAAAATTTCAGTTTATTAAAATTGTTTGCAAGACAAAAATGTTCAAGCATACCTGTAACAAATACAATTAGATACCAGACCAAATAAGTACAAGTGCTTTTCAAGCAAGCAGTTTAAATAAACATACAAAATTTAATATTCTGGTATTAGAAAAAATTAAATAATGAAGTTTTTAAACTTCCTAGAATATATATGTTTAGTTGTGAGATGTTTGAGTACAAGACTTAAACTATCAGCATTTTGATTGGTGTATCCCCTATCTATGAGCAATTCATAGTCAAAAGGTTGTAAGATCAAAACCTATTATAATAGAATAAGATAAGTCTCAGTGTTTTTATCCAACCACACTAAAGGATAGTGTGGTAGATCAGTCTGAATGATGAACTTAGGAGGTCATCTATGTAGAATTTTAACTTTTCTACTGCAAAGACAATGGCAGAACTTTTGTACTGCGAAGACAATGGCAGCACACTCCTTTTCGATTGTACTGTACTTTTTTGTAGTAGGTGAAAACTTTTTGCTAAGAAATATTATTGGATGTTCTTCTCCTTACAAGGTAACTAACTAGCTTCCAAACATTTTTCACTTGAAGTAATGAAAACCTTTTGTTACTTATTTACTATTTTTGAACTCCGATAACTTCCTCTTCAAATACTCTTCATCAAATTTATCCTTTAAATTGGCATGCTAAGAATCAAGATGTCTTTTAAGAAAGTATGGTTTCGTACTTTGAATAATAGTTCACCATAAGAAGCACGTTGAGGTTGAGGGTCCATTCCATCCCCATTCCAATAAACCCAAATGAAAATAACTTTCATTATATTTTCTACAAACAATTTTGCTTTACTTTTCAGTAATCGTAGTGTTAGTAGATTGTACGGAATCCATCACATGTAAATCATCACTTTCCTGCTGAGTCAATCCTAGCCATTTTTCCATTTCGAAAATCTAGGTTTGTTTTATTATTTTTCACAAATATTTCCATGCACAATATATTACGAATTCTTCAAAAACAAATGACGATTTTCTCAAATCTTGTAGAAAAGTGAGCAATACAAAGCAACAAGAAGACCTGCTGTTAGAGACAGCAAATCGATGTAAAAAAATGATTCTAATTGAAAATGGTGCACTATAAGCTGGGAAATGGTGGTGACATAAAATTAGACATGCTAATAAATTGATCAACTCTGAAAGAATGACTGACACACTATTATCTTTTTATAGGAATTTAGTTTTATTTGCTATTAAATACAACATCCATTTCTATTACTTCTTTTAAAATCGTCATTTATGACAAATGTTGTTATGTGTATGTATAAAAGAATATTTGTGAAAATAAAAACGGATTATTTTGCTGAAGTCTATGAGTGGCTATCAGTGGCGTAGCTAGGGTGGGGCAAGGAGGGACAGCTGTCCCCAGGCGCAGCATCCAGGGGGCGCCAAATTGATGTTATGAAATTTTAGAATGAAATGTTTTCCACTCTGGGCACACAGAAAGAGGCGCAAAATCTTCAGTTGTCCCTGGGCGCTGGAAATCCTAGCTATGCTTCTGGTGGCTATTGATCTTGAACAAAGCTCAGGTCACGTAAATTTACAAATGTTAGAGAGAAGGAAAAAAAAAAAAAAAAAAAAAAACTCAGGTTGTTGAGGTATTTAATTTTAATTGAATTTAATACTTAAAAATACTAATTCAGAATACAAAGCAGCTGCAATCCTCAGCTGCAAAAGTGCAAATTTTTGTGCTTTTGCAGCTGAGGATGATGGTTTGGTAAAATCATCAAAACTAGTGCTGTGAAAATTTGAAAATTTGTTGTTTGACTTCTGAATCAGTATTTGTTCGGCATGTTATTGTGTCTTACTTAAAAATACTTTGTTTTTTCCCCTACCACCTATTTTTCTCTCGCATACCACCAGAGGTACGTGTACCACTGGTTGAGAATCACTGACCTAGAGCATTATTTTTAAATAGTCAAAAATAAATCCATAAAGCTGCCTGATTGTTTACAGCTGAAGGGGATGTGAAAATCTTTTTCAGGATGAGACTGTGACCTTTTACTTCTAGTGCAAATGTTAAGCAAACTAGATCTGATTCTGAAGTCTGTTTTTATAAACACAATGCAAAAACAGTTTTCTTATGCTTTTATTGTATCAAATATTTCATATATCATTATTTTTATTTTAATAACTTCTAATTAATCTTGCTAATATTAAGATGAATTTCAAAAGAGTATGATTAAATTACAATTAACCCTTAGAGTGCCATGACCAGTATTACCCGGTCATGAGATTTTTTGTCACTTGTTATATATTAGCTTATAATTTACGATATTTTGCTTTCCTACTTTCATTAATAATATAAATGCCATCTTGATGAATGTAAGTTTATGAAAATAGAGATTAAAATATGTAAATGTACATATTTAGCTAATAAGGGCTCTTTAAACACAGGTCTTCATGACAGATCCTAAAACCTGGGCCCCTCAGAGGGTTAATACAATATTTAACTTACACAATTAATACAATAGCCATGCCAGAGCAACATCAGTTTTGGAGTTTGTGATATGATGTAGAAATGTAAAGCACTTAATAACTGTTTGTTTAGAGGACACTTCAGAAGAGAAACTAGGTATTGTTACAGGAATTTAGTTTGTTTATTATAAGCCATGAAAAACTTCCATGTAACTAATATCAACTTGTTTGAATACAAATCATGGATGAATTGCCATTATTTGATAATTTTATCCATTTGATTACTTAATAGGCTCTACAAAATGGATTTTATTTGAATAATCATGTATTCTAAAATACTTTATATACTGCTGATTATTTAAACAATTGATGGTTTTTAATAATCATTGGTTTATTATGTGTTAAACATGAAGATTTTTACCATTCTGTCGGTATTTATTTTTGCCAAATCATTTTAATGTACACATTTACTTTTGTGATATTAATAAATAACATTAATCCCTTTATATTCCATTATAGAGAAACTTCTGAATGAGGAAGGAACAGTAATTGAATCATCATTAAAAGTTCAAGAATCATCTTCAGGCATGGCAGTTCTATATGCTGTGGACAAAGTAAAATCTGTTGTTACGAGTACAGGACCAAAAGGTAAACAAGGAATAAATTTAGCAACTATAAATTTAGAGTATTGAATTTATGAAATATAGTTATAAATTCTTCTTCTGTAAAGTTCCATTGACCATAGTTTCATGGTAAACCTTGACATTTTAATTTTTTTGCACAGTTGGTAATAAAAATTTGTATAACGAGTTTGCAATACATTGGTAACAACAGGCATCATGTAAAGTGCTTTTGAAGCTTTACTGTTTCCCTTTTCACTTCAATAAACTAGAGCTCATCAGATGTGTAGCCAGGGTTTGTTAGCCTTGGTCACTCGCCAACTCATGTTTAAAAATTAGAAATTTTGAAAACTTCTAATACGTAATTTTGTAGCAATGCTGATGGTGTGGAACATAGATCCATACTGAAGAGGAAACTTTGTAGCCAAATAAGATTATACATTCATTTTTATTTCATTTGACATTTGTGGCCAGAATTCACTTGGCACTCTAATCATGCCTATATCCAGAATATTTACATTTTTGAAAATATTGCAATAGAAAGAAAGCAGGTAGGCAGTGTCCTAGTGGCAACAGAGGTAGAAGCTAAAGTGCGCAATTGTTCAGTACGAAGGCTCACAGAGAGAAAGTTGTGGTTTAGGTTGCTTATTAAGAGAAAAGTTTGAAGTCATATGCATAATATATATGCATTATATTTATGGTGTCCATATCAGATTTCTTTATGCAGAATATTAGCTTGTTTTTAGCCAATTGCATATACTGAGATTCATCCCATATCATTACTACACAATGCTGTTTAAATCTTTTGTTATGAGGGCATCATACAAATTTGGCCTCTGTATTGGGTGTTAAGGAAAATATTATTTTATCATCTCAGCAAACTCTACTCCATTAATTCATGATCAATCCTTCATGATCATATAACCACTACAGTCACCTAAGCTTCTTTTTTTCATTAATGAAAGATTTCTTCACAAACTTATGGGCTCTTAAGCTATTTTTCAGTTACTCTGATTTGTGACTTGTTTTACACTTGTGAACATTAACTGAACAATTCATCTGCAACTTATTCCTCAGTTATTCACAACTGTAAAAACGACCTTTTAAAAACTAATGAATAAGATTTCAATCATTTTTTTCCATTCATTTTGTATCATACCTTTCATTGGCTCTCCCTTTCTGTGCGAGCTTCAATTAATTTGAAATTTATTAATGCATTTACTAACTGTCAAATGATGACAGCTAGATTTCTGCACAGTTTGATGGTAGGTTTATTCTTCACTATGCAGTATGGTAATATTAAGATGCATCATAACTTTTTAAGTGACATTTTTTAAACTAATTTAAAAGAAATTTCAAATTACAGTGCAAAATTCTTCATGTTAAAAGAGCAAGCATAATCATATATATATATCTTTTTTTTTTTTTTTTTTTTTTTTTTTTTTTTCAGAATTCAGGCATTAAGGAGAGTTGTAATAGATTTAAAAAAAAAAGCCGTTTTCATTTTTTAATTTGTTAATTATGCTTTTTACGAGCCATTCTTTCTCTTGTAACTTTTCAAATAAGGCTGTTATTTTAAAATGGTAAAAAGTTTTGAATTTTATATAAAACTATCTTTCTCTAATGATGAATTATTAATTAAAATTGGAATTGAAGTAAATTTTGAAAGTGTGATTATATGCTCAGAATGTGCACTTTCAAGAGATGTTACAGAACTTTTGCAAGAAGCTATGCTTTGATATGTAAGAAATTTTCACTATGCCAGGATCAAAAGGTTATTTTCTAACTAAAAGGGTGGAATTTTGCATAAATCACTGTATACATAATTATTAAATGAGCATTTTTTCTTGACTGATGGATTGGTGTTGGTGGTAGAATTTTGTGGCCCTGCACTTTCTAGGTGTAAATATTGGATTTTTTCTTTGGAGTTATGTTAAATATCATGTCTATCAGGGACCTTGCATTAATTTGCAGGATCTGAAGCAAAATTTAATAGCTGCTGTTCATTCCATAACTCCTTGGATGTTTGCTGGCACTTAGTATGAAATCAAGTCTTGCTCAAGCGTACTAAGAACTACAAAATACATTATCAAAATTTTATTAACTTTTGTAGCCATTTTGTGAGTGAGTAAATATATCTTATATCTCTGAGTTTTTGTAACATAATTTTGAATCATGTTACAAAATTCTTTGATATATTTTAGTTATGTATGGTAGTTGATGTCAGTTGTGCATTTTAACACTCATCAGTAGATGGTACGAATGTTGTAACCCCACCTATATAGTGAATCATTATATTATTATGTTCATGATATGGCCAGTGTGTATTATATTTCAAAATGTGAAGCATAGCAATAACTCTTCTGTTATATGAAGTATTTTATTATGTATATATGTAAAATTTTATCAAGAAATAATTTATTATGCATTTATGTGTATGGAATTTTCCATTCTTGTGTGTCTTAAAACAGTTTTACAGCTACATTTTGCTATTTAACTGCTTTTACGAGGATAAATAAAACTTTGAAGTGCTGGTAATTATTCCAATTCATTTAGTTTTTTCTAACACCACATTCCATTTTCTTTCAAATGTAATTAATTTTTTTGCCTTAATATGTGACAGCCTAATCAAATGTTTTCAGCAGTGGAAGAAGATAATTAATATTTTATTAATTATTATTTATTATAATTTGCTGTTTTGGATTATAATTACTTTTTAAAAATTTATTTCTAGTACTCTCAGAACAGCCATTGAGCCTTCTTCTTGCTAAGAAGATGATTCTTGAGTGTTTTGTAGATAAAATGAGTGTTGCCTTTCCTTTTGATGAAACAATGAATATTTTAACATCATCTGTTGGTCAGCAAAACAAATTGTCATCCGTTACTCTTATTGATTCCAGCTGCAAAGCAGAATTTAATGAAAGCCATATTGTGTTACAATCTAACTGGCAGGATTGTGGTACAAAATATCTTTTAAATGGAGATGGAGTAGCATATCATAATCAGGTACATTATAATCCTTTTTTTAGAAATTTTGTAGGTTTTATTATTTAAGTAAAATTTATCACTAAAAGAAATTAAAGAAAGAGAAAAAAATAAAAAAAGAAGGGAAAAAAATCAGATTTATGAATCTAATTTTTTTATTATTTTTTAAAATACTCCAGCTGCTTTTTGTTGATGTTTTAAAAAGAGGATAAAATGCTGAATTTTTCGGGGGCTAATTAATATTTAAAACAAGCTATAAATCCAGTTACTAAATATAAAATTTAGTATGTTTGATACTTTCATTTTTTCAATTGAAAAATGTATCAAATTTTGGTGACTAAACTGATGACATTCATAAAATATCAAATTCACATGTACTCTCTATTTTTTATGCATTACATGTTTGCAGACTTTTAAGTGTTTATATCAGATGATTAATCATGGAATTTAAGAATATTGGATTTATAGTAGGTGAAATTTGAGTAGTCTGTATCTAAGTAATCAGTTGTTGAGAGCTATTGTAGAAAAACTTCCATGTGTTTTATAATCCATTCCATAATCTCTTTCTGTGGAATTTATGTTTTTACACATTTTATGGACTTTTGTTTTTAAACTGTTTCTGAATGTTTACTTTTCCAGTAATATGCATTATTGCAGGAATTTAAAAAATATATAAGAGGTAAGTCAAAAGTCTTCAGACTTTAATTATGGGTCACAGCATATGTTTCAATGACATTGTCTAAATGGATAGGTGACCTATTATCACGTTTATGGTCATTTGTACCAACAGTTATGTACATCAGGAGCTTTGAATTAAACAAATATTGCACTCAATGCTGAATGATATATTCACCTGTCACAGAACCAAGAGGTCGTATGCCAAGTTGATCACAAACCCTTTCTTGAAACCATGGCAATTTTCAGTCCTTTATGTTTCACATACTGTACAAAGAGTTTTTATACTCTTACCAAATTCAGCCTGTCTCAGTACTCAAAGCAGGAGACTATCTCCTGTGATTAATATTTGTAGATTTATAGATTTATTCATATTTGTTTTGAGAATAAGCTGCTTTCAGCCTTGGTTTGGTTCATGGACGAAGCTACATTTTCAAGGGAGGCTGTCACTTATGTGCACTTCTGGCTCATACTAGCATATGAAAACCCAAGAACAACAAGCTCATATGATGCTTAATAATGTTTTACTAGAAATATTAAGGCTGGAATTGTTGGAAATTGTTTGGTTTGTTGCGAATCATCTCTTAACATGGCTAACAGAAGAACATATCAGTTGTTTTTATGGATGTGGTATCAGAGTTATTCCATGATATTCTGGCTGACATTTGCCATTCATAGCATGTGATTTTAGTATGATGGGGCACCCACATATTAAAAACAAATTAAGTGGAATTTTCTTGATGCAACTTACCCATAAAGTGGATCTTTGTAGAGAGATGATAAGGCAACGATGATGATGAATATACAATGAAGTTGATTTTCGGATTTGAATTCTTTATGATGAGAAAATTTTTTCTATATCACCATTTTGGGTTATGGTGTATGGTTCTTGGTTGTTTCACTACGTAGTCAATGGTGGGGTCATAATTTGCAAGTGATTTGATTGCATCATATTGAGAGTTTTGAATTTTAGTGAAGAAGTTGTGGGATTCTATGAGTATCTGTGATTGAATGGGTTTAATTTTTAGTTCTTCTTGAATTAGTGTATTGCGTATGAACCAAGGCGCATTCGTTATTGAGCGTAGAATTTTATTTTGCAGTATGTCTATTTTTGCTCTTTCTGTTTTTAATGCCATTGCCCATGCTGGGGTGGCGTATAGGAGTATTGGTCTGATGAGAGTTAAGTATAGCATCTGTTTCACTGCGATATTTAGTTTAGATTTTCTGCCTATTAAGCTATGTATTGCCATAAAGGCTGCATTGGCTTTATTAAGAATATTTTCAATATGACTTTTGAATGTTAGTTTAGGATCCAGGGTAACTCCAAGGTATTTATAATTTTCTTTGAAAGGAACATTTTGGCCATTGATTTTGATATTGGAATTGATGATTTGATTTTTCTTTTATCTTCGAAAGAGGATTATGCTACTTTTGCTGCAGTTGAGGTTTATTCTCCATATATTGCACCATTTGACTACGTAATTCATGTGAAATTGGAGATTTTCTATTGCCAGTTGAGGACTTTGTGATTTTGAGAGGATAACTGTATCATCCGCATATTTTAACAGTTTGGAGTTTAAAGGTGTGGGCATATCGTTTACATAGATTGAAAAGAGAAGCGGGGCGAGCCCGCTTCCCTGAGGGACCCCACTTTGAAAAATTTTCTTTTGTGACAGAGTATTGCCGATCTTAACTTGGAAAGTTCTTCGTTTTAGGAAGGAAGTAATCAGTTTTATAAGGCTGTTAGGGAGTAGGAAGTTTGTAAGTTTGAAGATTAATATGTCATGCCAAACTTTATCAAATGCTTTCTCGAAATCGAGAAAGCAAGCTGCGATACGTTCTTTATTTATGAAAGCTTGGAAAATTGTTTCTATTAAGTTGAGTACCTGATGCATTGTACTATGCCCTGGCCGGAAACCAAATTGAGAATTTTCTATTAATTGATATTTTTCAAGATTTTCTGAAAGTCTTTTACTTAAAATTTTTTTAAATATCTTCCCTATTGTGGGGAGAAGACTTATTAGTCGATAACTGGAGGTAAGGTGTGGATTATTCCCCGGCTTTAGTAGGGCTTTAATTATGGAGTGCTTCCATTGTTGTGGGTAGTAGCTTTGTTTGATACAGGTGTTAATAATATTCTTTATGAGGATAAGGCATCTGAAGGGAAAGTGTTTAAGTGCTTTATTTGAGATTTCGTCATGACCGCTAGCTTTTCTGATTTTGAAGTTAGAAATGATTAATTGAATTTCTTCAGTGGTTGAGAGAGGGATAAAATTCGTGTCTTCCATTGATTTAAGTTGATTTACTGTATTATTAACTTCTTCTTCAATTTCTGGGTCATCAGGGATATTCGGGGTGAAAATTTGACTGAATTCTTCGGCCATTATGTTGGCTATCTCTTTTTCTGTGTAGTAATAATTCCCTAGATGTGTGATTGGATTAAGGTATTGTCTATTGTCCTTGCGTATGGCATTTGCGATTTTCCATACCGAGGTATGGTTTATATCAATGTTGTCAAGGATATTACTCCATCTTTCAGACCTGTGCTGAGATACTTCAGTGGATATCCTTCGGTTCAGATAGTTCATTTGTCTTTTGATGACAGGGGCTTTGCTGATGCTCCAAGCTTTTCTAAGTCTGTTTCTTTGCTTGATAAGGTCGTAAATATTGTCCGGTAATTTAAATTTCTTCTCTGGTGGGATGATAGAGCTGGAGTTGTGAATAGCAGTTTTAATTTTTGCTGAAAGTCTGTAAATCTCTTCTTCAATGTGCCCGCAGTGCTCGAGAGGTGGGTTGCATTCAATATTATTGAGGTAATAGTTGAATTTGTTCCAATTAATTTTTGTAAGAGCTCTTTTAGGTGGGGGATAGAAATTGTAGAAGTGGAAATTGATAGGGTAGTGGTCTGAAATGAGTTCCTCTTTAACTTGAAGGTGTGGCGCTTGGTTAATATCTTTAAGGAAGAGAATGTCCAGAATATCTCCACTCCCTCTGTAACCATAGTGGGTTGGATTGGTAGGACCTATTATTTTCTAGTCTTTATTGAAGATACAGGCTGAGAGTCTTCTTCCGTTGGCGTTAGTGGATCTGGAATTCCAATTTGAATGCTTTGCATTAAGATCTCCTGCTATTATAGTGAGGAAGTTAATAGAAGTTAGAATGTCGAGATCTTGGAGATTAATTGAGTCTGGTGGGCTGTAAACTGCAATGTATAAAAAGGTTTCTTTAGCTTCACTATGAATAAGGACCAGTGTATATTCTATTTTCGTAGTGGGTGGAAGTTTTATCATTGTTAATTTAATGTGGTTTTTGATTAGAATTGCAGTGCCGCCTCCGAAACTGTTGGTTCTGTCATTTCTAATTAAATTATATCTTGGAATTTTGAATTTGTCTGCTCTTCTAAAGTGGGTTTTATTAAGAAGCATGAGGTCTATGTTGTGTCTGTTGAGGAAGTTATGAATCCTTGTTGTTGTTTCTTTGCCCCATTGGCATTAAAATAAGAAATTTTGATGTAGCAGTTGGTTGCTCCTATTAAGTTGTGAATGTCATAATGATTGTTAAAAGACATAATCTATTTTGGTGAAATATTCCAGGGCTTCCATCCCTACTTCTATTTTTAATATTAGAGAATTGGCATTTTTGAATTTGGAGAAAAATTCCTTTGCTTTAGCAAGATGCATTTTTAGCCATTCTATGAAGGTAATTTCTTGTTTTGAAGATTCTGTTGGAGTGGAGGAACTTTCTGTTGGTTGTATGGAGGTGGGTGCAGTGGTTCCTGGATCTTTTCTCCATGTGGATGCGTTAGGTGGATTTTGTTATTCATAATAAATCCAATTAATTATAATACAATGTTTAACTTTGTTTATTAAAGATCAAAACAATCTTTTCATGAAGTATTATATTTTGTTCTTTAGGTGCAGTTTATAACAACAAATGCTGTAGAAAAAGTATCGTCAAGTAATCGAAAACATCTGCCAACTGATGATGATGATTATATATCAGAAGATGGATCAGGATCTGATGATGTCACTTCAGTCCGCCAGAAATCTCTGAATGAAGAACGTATCATATATCCTGTACCATTTCATTGTGCACAAACTGTTTTGCATAAAAATATTATTGTAAGTCTGTCACTGAAAAAAAAAAAAAAAAAAAAGAAAGGTCTATAGTCATTTCTTAGTCTTTTAATTTGCTTCCCACTTCGAGGCTGCTTGGGATGGGAAAACTGAGGTTGAAATGGTCAGATTAAGGTGACAACTGTCATCTCCCACATATTTAATGTGAATTTTACTATAAAATCGCTAGAGGTTCCTCCCCTATCTCAGGGGGTGAAAAAATCTTGGAAAAAATCAAATGCAGTATTGCTGGGAATTGAATCTGATTTTTTTTTCATTTTCTTACTGGGATTCAAATTTTTTTTCAGTTGCTAACTAAACACTGTACTGCAATGGCATACGGAAAACATGCCTTTAATTTCTTTTGTTGTGGTCTGTCAAATCTATGAATTCATATGAACCACAGAAATAGGAATGGATTAGAAAAAAATACACATTTTGTGGAGGACCTGATGTAAGCTTGCTGAGTCAAGCTAGGAAATGCAGCGCTGTGGATGCCTCAGTGTTCTTTAATTCCTAAATAATAAGATAATTTTCAAGAAAACAGTCGTAAAAGTGCCTAATTATTTTTTATTCAAGAAAATTGTATAAAAATAAATGTATGTACAATATATATATTAATTTTTAATTTTTTTTTTAGCTTGAAATTTAAAAGAATAATTTTTTTAGGATGAGAAAACTGAGGATTTAGGAAAAGCCAACATTCTGGGTTATTGTGATTGAATGTTGTTTTTCCAGTAAACCAGGAAAATTTAAGAAATATGTGTTTTAAACATTAAAAGATCATTTTATTAAACTTACGCATAATATAAACAAAGATTAGTATTTTTTTTCTTGTGTGATAAATTTCAAAGCAGGAGATGCGAAGGCCAAACATCACAATCTGACAGTAGTAGAATTTCCTTTCTACATCTCTTATTGTTTACATCTCTTCTGGAACAACAAACTTTGCATTCTCTCTCCCACCAGCCTCTTTTTGGAATAGTGTCTGATGACTGACTGATACATTTCAATAAGTTCTACTAAAGATAAATAAAACATGAAATCTGATTTTGTTCCACCTTTTTTTTTTTTTTTTTTTTTTTTTTTTGTAAATAAGATAAGAGTTCAGAATAGTTTGACCTAACAAATGAAAGAATATTTTCTAATATTTCTTTCCTCTTTTTCATAGGAATAGTGTTATCTCCAAGATATTGGTCTACAGTATCTACTTCTTCCATATTTTTATTGTAATCTGTGACAGTTGTAGGTTTTTTTGACAACTTTGTTATGCCACTGTACATCTACCATGTGATTTGTATGGACTGTGGATAGCAGGGTAACATCCTTCTTATCTTTCCACTTCATGGCAAGAACTTTACTTCAGCAAAAGCCACATTTTCACCTTTTGTGATTATCTTTTTTACCAATTCTTGAGGCAATTTTTTTTTATTTAGTTTTACAGTTCCATAAATGTCTGTTTTAAATTTTAAAAGCATGTCTGCGAATTCTGGTGAGGTATAAAAATTGTCTGTTATTAGACAATATCCTTGTTTTAGCAGGGTCTTGATAAGTGACATCACAACTTGAATTGACTGGGGCAGATTTTTATATTTTGAATCAAAACTGAACCTTTTCCAGTATATATATAATTTGTTACCATATATACCCTGAACGTGATTCTCATAACAAATACGATTTTACTCCAAAACAGAATTTCTTTTTGGACATATATTGTCGCCATCCTAAATTACCTGTGAAGAGCATGAGGATTTCATCAATTACAATATCACGTCCAGGAGTTACAGCTCTTTGAAATGATTCATTCAGGTGCTTTAACACTGGCAAGATTTAATGCAGCTTGGGATTTGAATGTGTGTTACAATAGAAAGTTCCATTAACAACAAAATGCAGAAATTTGCATATTTCATAAAATCTATTACAATGCTTCTGAAAAAGGTGTTGAAATTAAATGTTTTTTTTTTTTTTTTTTTTTTTTTTTTTTTTTGCTCCAATACATTTTTGTATCTGGTTTTCTTACAATACTTTGTAAAGTAACTATATTGAGAAATATAAGAATTTCTTCCTTTGTGACAAGTATCCAAGGTTTTCTGTTTTTGGATAGGCGAAATTCTGAAAAATTTTGTCATTGTTCGTCATATCTGTTTGTTTTCACATTTTGAAATGTTTGAAAGTTTATTACTCCAATACATTTTTGTATCTGGTTTTCTTACAATACCTTGTAAAGTAACAATATTGATCACTAAATTGTCATTTACAAAGTACTTAAAATATTGCAAGACACTAGAACTTAAATCAAAATTCATGTTTACCTTTGGTGTTTTCAGAAATTTAAAATAGGGGAGGGTGCATGATCTACTAAAGTAGATAGCAGTACAAAGTCCGTAATCCGAACGTCCATTATCTGAAATGATCTATAATCTGGACCTCAAAGCCATAAACTTTTTTTTTTTTTTTTGTATTCTTTACGCATGTGCGTTGGGAGGATGTCTCCAGATACGTTAAAAAATGCTTGTCATAATTTATGGACAGCTACCATATTTCATAGTGAGGATGTTGAAGGTGATAGCCTTAATTGCTGCAACATTTAAAATTCGAGGAAAATATCACCACAGGCCACCGTTTCGATAGAATAGCTGTAAAATATGCTGCTCCCATTTCATCTAGAACATCTACTGTTCCTTTGGTTAGATTATAAAATGAAATATTTTTAGTACTACAGTGGTTTGGTCAATTTTATTATCGTTGTGCATAGTTGATAGTAGGACAACATTTCTGTTTTTCCTTGATGCATAAGAAACAAGCATTGTTTCTTTGTGGAAACCCAAAATTGAAGAACATGCTTCCCGCTTCTTCATTAGAAAATCCGGCAGAATTTCTCTCAATCTCAACATTTTGGAATCAACCAGTGCAAATATTTTTATGCTACATTTGGCAGGTTTTTTTGGGATGTATTTCCTAAATGAACATCGTCCCGTGAATGGTTCTAATTTTTCATCAATTAGTCTTTCTCACAGTTTCAACTATAATTATTTTCTTCCTTAATAGGTCTTGAGATAGCTGATTTACTAACCGAACTTACTTCAGTTACTTCAGAACCACTCTCAGATCCATTTATACTAAAATCGGAATCCTATTCACTGTCTGACTCTGACTCCATAATGTACGGAATATTAAGAAATAAGTATATTTTATCACAAAACAAAAACCACGTATATTCACAAAGAGACTAATTAAGCAACTGGGCCAATGCTAAGATTACAAAATACATATAAAAAATACACGTTTATTTGTCCTGACACCTAGTTTAAAATAAACTATCTCTAATTGCATAAAAAATATTCTGGGTCTGCCATCTGGTGTGTAAAATGAGAAATAAAACTTTTTCTGAGCAAAAGAAATGAGTAGGTTTTAAATCTTTTTGGCACATTTCTTTTGAACACTCCACCCCAGAAATATCACGGGCACGAAAAATAGAGGGTGAAACCTCACCTCTTCGTTTTGACGTGAGCAAGAAGGAAGGGGTTAAAAGTAATAATAAATGACCTTGGAAGTTGAACTGAGGTGTACTGCATATAAGCCAAACATCATATTGTCAACTCACCACTGATATATGGATTTGTTTCTAGTTAAAAGTCTTATTAATCACCAAGAACACTACACAGTCCATTTTTAATCCAGTACTGGCTAGTCATCATGATTGAGCCAACATAATGAACCTTGTATGTTGATGTGGTTGATCATTGCTTTAGTTGCCTGTGGCCCCTAGTGTGTATAAGTGTTTGGTCTTTTATTGTATTGTGAGGAATGGTGCTTAATATCATTCGTCATTTGTCTCCATTTGGAGCTGTGTTTCTTTGTCACTGCTGTGGTTCACCTGTATAGCTGGGCAGGCATTAGCTAACTTAACTGTTGTTGTCTCATTGGTGACATCTATTTGTAAAATTAAGAAGTGCAGCACTCTGTGGATGCTTCATTGTTCATTGATACTTGGATTTGTTTTTTGGTGAAAGTGGGCATTGGTCACTAAATCATCCATGGGGATGAAATAATAATTCATAAAAATATCTAATTCATAAATGAAACATTGTAAAAATAGTAATCCCTGTATCTAAGAGTATATGAATGTGTCAACTTTATAATAGGAAAAAAAAAAAAAAAAGTGTAACTTCTTTCTTATGTAGTACATTTAAAATTATGATTTGTCTTATGAGAGTGTTATACCTAATAACAAAGAAGATGTTTCTTTCTTCTTGTTAGTAATGCAAAAGAGTTATTATTATTATATAAATGCTTGCTTGGACCAGTTCATTATAGTTACTAGATGCTGTTAGTTCAACTTTATATTAGAAACTGTTAGTTCTGTCATTAAAGCCGACCCATTCAGCCTAGTAGTTGGCTGCATGAACATTTTACAATTTCCTTCTATGTAATGTGAATAAAGAACAGCTATTGCATTAAATTTCCAGTTCAGAAAGGTACTTCACATGAAATAAATAATCCTTGCAAACTTTGGGATAATTGTAAACTAAAACCCCTTTTGAAATGAATGAAAATGAGATATAAAATGGTTTCTGAAAAGGAACTATGTAAATGCAGAGAGGAATTTCTTTCTTTTTAAGATAGTGTTAAAGCATATGTTTTTAAGTGAGAATGAGAAAAATGATTTGCAAAATGCAAAAGCAGTTCATAATAGAAATCATCTGTTATGCCATGTCTCATCAAGGGGGGCAACACTTGACATACAGTTATTACCAGTCACATTTCCGAGTATATAACCTTTAACTTGAAGTAATATATGTTTCATGTAGGTTGTAAGCATATGGCATGACAATATATAGTTTATTGCTATGCTATATAACCTTCCAGTCTTTGTCTTCCAGTCTTCCAACTTTGTCTCTCATGGTATTACATGGGACTAACTTTCTATTTCTTATAGAAATAAATTTTTCTTTTTTCCTATACAGAAGAATAGGTGTATTGTTATTAATAAGATAAAAGATGAAAATAAATTTCTATTTTATGACTTAAAATTTTAAATTAAGGATATGTGTATTCATTTTGCCTTTACCTGTTTCTCTCTTATGGAATTGTAAAATATGTGACAAAAATGCCTTCCAAAGTATGCTTTATGAGATTTAAAAATTAGTGTGTGTTTTTTACTCTATTTGTTTTAGGCACCTGGGGAAAAATTTGAACTAAATTTATATTGTAAAAAGGATTTTCAGCAACCAATAATGTTCCAGGAATCACTTCCATTTGATGTTATAGCTCATGATCATTTATTTGCTGAAGCAGTGATTAAAGCAGGTAACTATAAATTTTGTGCAGTAAATAGATCCAAAATTCTTATTATGCAGAAAGTTTCTAAAAGTAATACCAAATAACTGAAATAGTAATTCAGTACTGATTTTATGTTTGCCCAAATCCTTGAAACAGGTTTAGCATATTATTCCTTATGATGCTTTTCATTAAAAGGGGGAAAAATCTCTGTAACCATCCCCTATAAGTAGAAGTCTTAAAACTGTGTCAACTCAAAAGAAGTCCATAGAAAATTTTTTTTGGAGGGGAGGGAGAGAGGAAATTTATCCTTAAAAATAATAAAAAGAAATTTGTGTTACTACCCTTAGAAAAATAAATGCTAAGAAAGGATTAAAAATACATCAATTTTGCAGGCATTGTGGAAAGTGAAATGGAAATCATTATTCCGTTATAGTTTTACTCTTAAAAAAATTACTTCATATTATTTTAGGTAATAATAATGATTAAAATTTTAGGAAAGTCTTGCTTAATTTATTGTTTTATATGTTTGGTTTTGTGGTTCATATGTTACTAAAATAATTTTATAATTTTGTTTTCAATTTGCAAGATTGTAGAGCAGTTGCAAGAAACTGCAGAATTCCTCAGTTTGAAGAACACCTTTAGATAAATATTGATCTTTTCAGGTGTCATATGAGTTTGGAATGTTAGGAAAAAGAGTATTTCAGACTACAAAATTTTTTTAAACAACATTACAAATACAGATTACATTACAAATACATATACAAAACATTACATTACAAATACAGATGATAATTTGATCACATGTACTAGAATTCACCAAAATGTCTTGAAAATATATTCATTTGGAGAAGGCATTATTGTGGCGTTTTGGAGGCTATGTAATCATAATAAAAATTGTCAGGAGTAAGGTCTGAACTCCTGGAAGGTCTGTTGATAAACTGAAATTTTAACATTTTGACCAGGGGTCTCCAACCCTATGCCTGTGGGCACCACTGCATCCAGCAACAGTTTTATGTGTGCCAGATGTTATACAGCAGTGATAAGAAAATTATGTTTTCAGTAAAATGTTACGTAAATTTTCTTTTATCATTATAAATTAATTGGCATTGTTTAAAAGTGTGTTTGTTTATAATTTTAAATGCGCTTACCAGAGGTTCTGGTTTCATTGGAATTGTCCAAGTCTGAAATTGTGGTTCTGGTCACTTTGTCATTTTTGACCTGGTTATTTGTTAAAAATAAAAAAAAAATCTTAACTATTATTGTTTTCAAGAATGAATATCATAAAATCAAAGTACAGATCTCAATTTGCTGGTGAATCTTGATGATTGTTTACGAGCAAGAATATCATTATATCATCATACTCTTCAAATCACAAGCTCTTGCCAAATATCACAAGCTTTTGTGTATATTATTTATTTTAAATAAGAATGAAATCAGTAATTCTTGTATCTTAAAAATTATCTTTTTTTTTCTTCTTTTTGGTATGTTATGTGTATTATTAACTATGCCAACCTATAAATTTACCTTAAAGGAACAAATGTGCCCACCACCTGAATGATATTCTAGAATGTGTTCTAAGGTACAAAAAGGATGGATATCCCTTATCTATACTTCTTAGGGAAGTTGCTTATCATAATAAAGCTCCACTGGTGGGGTCTAGTGATTTCTCCATGGATATTGATCTTACCAGTCCTATGAGCTCAGAAATGAATTTTTGCTAAAATTTCAAGTAATCTGTGTTTTACTGTTGTGTCAAATAAAGGAATAACCGTATTTTTTCCAGATCTTGTTCAACTGTGTGATACTGCTCTTTCTTTTTTAACAAGATCATACTAGTATTGAGATTTGAATGCTGGCTGTTAGAGGGCCTTCAATTTAGATACAGGGAAGCTGCAGTTTATGCCAACACTTAAGTCATAAATGAGAAATGCTGCTCTTAGAATTCCTAATTTCTGTTTGCATGTATCAAAGCAGCTGTTAGGAACTGAATTGTTAAAGGAGATGTGACACTGTCACTCATTTTGTTTTTTGTTCCATAGTATTTTTTAAATCTCTTAGTTTGCCATCTGTATTGTGTTTGGTAAAAGTTCTGGATGTAGCTTACTAAACTTTTTAAATGAGTAGCCTAAAATTAATTTTTAAATGATTCGCATAAAAACTTCATATTTATTTTATGTCCCATTGTCTGAAATGAATTCTTCTTCTTGTTAAATAAAATAAAATTCCTCTGGATTTAGACCAGTGCTTTCCCAACTTTTCCATGTGAAGGGTACTTAAAAGTTTAAGTGGCAGCTTGCGAGTCAAGAAATGCCATATGTTCCATAAAAAGTGTAATAAAAGCAATAGTAGTGCACTGTGAGCAATAATAGTGTAATAATAGTGCACGGTGAAATTAGATAAACAAATTCACTTATTAATAGTTATGCAAATAAAGTTATTTTACTTGGTAATTTATTTTCCATTATCAGGCCAAATGTTAAGTGTGGTCTGACATTGCTTTTTTTTATGCAAATAATTTGTGGCTTCTCCTGTGGCTTTTATTTGTTTCAGAGATTTTATATTTGATTTAATGTTTTATACCCTTGAAAGCAGCTAATTGCAATAATATATGCCACCCAACAGCAAGAACTGAAAATTTTTGTTTTTCTTCATTTGGGTAAAAATCTAAAGAAATACATTTTTTAAGCATTGTTAACAAATCATATTATGTGAAACATGTTTGCATGTCAGAATCAGTTTGGATTTCGATCAGTTCCATCTAATCATCTAAGGTTCCTCAGAATCCTAAACTGTATTACTGTGCTCCTTGGACTCCTTAAATATTTTTGTGATTTCATTTTTAAATTTATCAGATAAGATGAACTTATTCGCAATCAACTACCATATTTGACGGCATATAAGATGCTCTTTTTTCCTAAATTTGGTCTCGAAAAAGTTACCTGCGTCTTATACGTGAAGGACACAGGTTACAAAAACATAACCTTCGATGCCCAGCTCCATTTTGGCCTGAACTTGAAAATGCTGTAAAAATGTTGGTGATAGATAACAGGAAATCTGGGATAAGTGTTTCAACCAAAATGATAATCAATAAGGCCAAAGGATTTGCAGAAAAACATGGGAATCAGAACTTTTCAGGGTCTGAGGGCTGGGGCTACAGGTTCATGAAAAGGCAAGGCTTATCAATGCGCACAAAAACAACTATTGCACAGAAAATGCCAGCAGATTATGAAGAAAAAATACTAGCATTTCATAGGTTTGTTATAAAAATACACGCAAGAAAACTTCTTTTGAGCTCGGTCAAATAGGAAACATGGATGAAATTTTACTCGCATTTGATGTACCATCCAACAAGACTGTGAGTATTAAAGGGTCTAAATCAATAACCATAAAAACCACAGGTCATGAAAAAACCCGATATACAGTAGTTCTAACATGTTGTGCTGATGGCACAAAACTACCGCCGTTTTTCATATTCAAAAGAAAAACTTCCAACGGGTGTAATTGTTCATGTTCATCCAAAAGGCTGGATGGACGAAGCTGGAATGAAACTGTGGTTACAGAACGTATGGGCGAGACGACCTGGTGGACTCTTAAGGAAACCCTCTCTTGTGGTTTTGGATCAGTTTAGTGCCCATAAAACTGAAACCATAAAGAATAAAGCGAGAGAATTAAAATCCCAGATAGCTGTCATTCCTGGTGGACTGACTAGCCAATTGCAATCTTTAGATGTATCAGTGACCAAGCCATTTAAGGAAAAAGTTCAAGAACGATGGAACAAGTGGATAGGAGAGCCATATCACGCCCTCAAACCCTCAGGTAGAATGAAGCGGCTCTGTATTTCACAAGTGTGCGAGTGGGTAAAAAGATCTTGGGAGGACATAAAGGCTGAAGTAATTGTTAAGTCCTTTAAGAAGTGCGGAATCAGTAATGCTCTTGATGGAACAGAAGACGACGCATTATTCGAAGAAGATGATACTAGCGATGACGAAAACAATAGTGATGACGATATTCTCGTTTTCGATGAGGATGATAGTGAAAAGGATTTTTATGGTTTTGAAAGTGATTAAAGCCTAATTCCTTGAATCTCTGTTTTTTTGTTTGTTTGTTTGTTTCTGCTTTATTTTGTATTATGTCTAAATGCTTGCCATTCATTCATTTATTCATTATTGAAATTTACATATCATGTTCAAAATAGCTTGCCGTTTGTTAATTTTTCTTAATAAAAATATGTTTGGTAATTGCATTCAATGATTGTTTATTTGGCATTTACGAAACATGAGAACTAAAAGAAACCACATTTTAAGTTATTGTGGTACCGCGCTGTCACGCAGACTATTGAAACATTTTTCCTTGTGGCCTTCTAAATAAGGGTGCGTCTTATATGCTGTCAAATACGCTATTTTTGAAATTATTGTAATTCTTAGATAAAAACTTTGACATAGTCATGAAGTTGATTGATATGCTAATCGCTTTCTTGAAACTTTGTGTTAAAATGTGCAAGATACATAGTCATATAATTATGCATTTTAAATCATTCAGTCATTTATTACTTTTCACAAAGCTTGCATCTCTGTTTTATTTCAAAGAAGGGCTTCTCCTCTTCAGTGTCTTTAATATGGCCAGTTTTGATGTGCTGTTGAATCAAAACACAGTTGAGAGGTCATATTCTTGTAAATAAATCTTTGATCTCCTATGATTGAGTCCATTAATCTTTATAAAATATGCTAAAGAAAAAAGTGTGTAGTTAGGTGATATATATTTAAGATATATCTCTAAGTTAGTCTCAGAGAATGATGGAGTTGTGTTTAGTAACACCTTTAAATTATGGTATCAGCATTAGATTTGCAAGTCCCTACTTTACATATACTTGCATATAATCAATTTATAACCTTTAAAAATCAATCATAAAATCAAACTTAAAAAATTCACACTTTTAATTTCTTTCATATGATGTTAGGTACCTAGATTATGTAAATAATTATTATTATAGCCATTAGTGTATTAAAAAAATGCTGTGGTTATTGTAAATAAATTTTAGTTCATTGAACAAACAGAATGTAAACTTTGTTTTAGAAATCAAACAAAATTAACTTTGCTGTAAAAAGCAAGTGAAAAATAAAACTTACACAAAATTTTCTGATATTTAACTATATTCCAATAATCATGCTTAATCATTTCAGGATTGAGATCACAATCATTCACTTTCTCTTCATATTCCTCCTTCTTATCATTCACCCATAGTTCATTATCCATTGCATTTAAAGTTGCTTACTTTTAAAATTTGTTGTAATTTGTCTTTGTATATGGCATGCAGGGACTTTGGGTTGTGATTTTTTTTCATTCAATCTGTCATTCTAATATATAAAGTTATACTGTAAAATCAAACCTTGACTTGCATGCAAGAGCCGTTATAACAAGTATATATGGTTCTTTTAATCACAGGCGCCTGCATTTGATGTACTTCTGCAAATTTCTTTTTCTGAAATACTGAAAGTTATCCTGATATCAGTTTTAAGTCATCAAAAATATATTTTTTAAAAATATTGTCTTTCATTGGGCATAAATCCAATAACTCATAACTGAATTTTAATATTGTTGTGATTTCTGTTATAGAGATAGCCATTAGGATGTAGTGACATTATCTCTGCTTTTTTCACCAATTTAAGAGCTAAGCTAAAAATTAGCATAATTATTCCATTTTTAAACTGAAAATTTTTCATTGGAAATGTTTTCATAACTGTCTGCTAAATCATCTGTTCTTTCGATAATTCAAGATATTTTTTTTTTTTTTTTTTTTTTTTTTTTTGATTTTGAATCAAAACAAGAACTTTTTAAAATTTTAATGAAAACAAGCCACAGATATAATATGCTTGAGCAGTCACCCCCCCCGGCCACAACTTTTTTTTTTTTAACAACACTTTCTAGTAACTTAATAATACTTTACTGGTTTCTTTGATATGAGCAAACCTGTCTAGTGACAGATTTTTGTAGCTACTTAGGTTGACTATACTGCATCGGATATTTTATTTCTTAAGATTTTACTAGCCTAGGTTTCTGTTAAATATATATATATATATATATACAGTCAAAAGTCGTTAATCCGGACTCGTCGGGACTTCGGCGATTCCGGATTATCGATTTTTCTGGATTATAGATCATCAGTTTAAATCTCGTAAGATGGCATGCAGAAATTCTAAAATTAAAAATATGAAACCGTAATTTATGAAATAAAGAACAATTATGATCTAAAGGGTATCAAAATTTGCAAAAAAAAAAGAAAAAGCTTAATATTTATTTGTTTACTTTATTAAACATTTCTTTCAATGTAAGTTGTTTAAGTTTTGCTTCGTTTCATGTGATAATACTTTCTCTTTAATTCTATTAAACAGACATAATTTGTTGTTCAGTTACAAAGTTCCGCTGTTCAAGTCCTATAATTGCTGTGTCTAGAACACCGAATAATTTGTCAATCGAAATTTTTTCGTTTTCAATAACCTCTGTCACTTTCTTCGCTATCGAAAGCGAATTATAATGACGAGGAACTTGTTTTAAATCATATCAAAGACGGAGCATATCGAGATGAAATACTACATTTGGTAAGGAATTATAAGCCAAATAAAATAAAAACATCTGCGCTGAAGATAAGGATAGTGTTGACAGATCAACTTCCAATTCATTACGCGCCGGCCGCGGCGATCCCCCCGCTGAGCAGCGTGAAATTGATAAACAGATTTCGAATTTCAAAACATACTTTCGCTTTAGATCCTTTACATATCAACAAATATATATCGGAAATTCTATTTGATATAATCGAAAGTTTAAGCTTACTTTTATAAAATTGCTCTTACAGTCTGCAAAAAATAATAAGTCGGATCCAATTCAAAAATTAAGGAACCACGCAATCATCAACATTAACTGAAATAGATAATTAGATAATTTTACCTTATACGTCCATTATACATAAACACGCGAAAACGTATTCTGCACTTGCGCACACTCATATGCGCAGTCGTAAAAGGTCTTACGCGCTCGCGTAAACGCCTATGCGCATGTGTCAACGCGGCGCATGCGCAGAAAGTTTTTAGTTTTGAGGTCCGGATTATAGATCATTCCGAATTATGGGTGTCCGAATTAACGACTTTTGACTGTATAAATCAAATTGTTGTCAGCAGGTTGGACTGTGATCTGTGGACTGTATGTTAGACAATTTTATGCTTGATTTATAAGAACATTTTTAGAATTTTGTGTGCAAATTGCATTCTGTAATTGATAAAATTCATTCTGAGATGTTTATTTCAAATAAAAATGTGCTTTTTTCGAAGTCAAATGTGCCATCTCTGTTCATACTGGTAACATGTATAAATTGTTTTGCATGTGATTTCTGTGGTGTATTTCTTTAAGATAAATCAGCCAGTATATCATTAATATAAAGAGTAAATTATTTTCATAATTTTCTGTGGAGAAACAACTTACATGTTTGTAAACATTTGAATATGAGGAATTCTAGGCAATAGCTAAATTTTGTTTCACTTTTGTAACTTATAAAATGAGTTATGTACACTTATTCTTTTAGCAGTGCTTTAATAGTTTCACGAAAAGTAAAATGTTTGTTATTGATGATAAGTTTTTTACAACACTCTTAACCTAAAATTCTTTAGACTTATTTATAGTATTTCATTAAGGGTGATTGGATTAAATGTTTTCTTCCTTTAAATGTTCTAGTAATTTCTTCTGAGCAGGAGTTGTGAATGTCTTATTGCTGTTCATAAAATGCATATACACATATATGTATATACGTATGTAAAATTATAACACTTTTGTTTTCTACTTTTCTCTAATAACTACTTCCACCTAATAAAATGTTTTTTTTAAATATTTGTTTAGTTTTTCTTATGATATTATGAAGTGATAAATTTTATATTATATTCCATCATATGAATGATTGATTAGATTACTAAAATACAGTTCTTGTATAATTGTTTTGCTAATGTATAAAATATGCATTTTCTCTTAGATCCTCGTTTGTGTATACTTGTTGATGAATGCTGGATATCAGAAAATGATGCTTTTACAAGAAATGTTGGAAAGAAAAGTGTTTTAATTAAACAAGGGTAAATATTATTAATATTTTATTTTGTATATGCATACAGGTAATTGTAGGAAAATTTATACTAAGGACTCTATATAAAAAGCTTACTTAACTGTATTCTTCCTCTAAACAATAAACCATGATACACAATATAACTGCAGAATATGATGCTGCATTTGAATGGCCATTTAGTCTTGCTGCTGGTTTAATTCAATTGAAGCTGACCTAATTTATGCATAAGTTATAAGCTTGCAATGTTTGGTATTTATTAGTTATGGTGGCGGGAAAGAAATATATCTGCATATGGGCAGTTTAGCATTAAAGTTGGCAGCCAAATTCTAAAGCACCATATATTATTTTGTGTGAAAATGAAGAAAAGGGCTTTTGAAATGGTGAAACTATTAGAAGTGGTAAGTAATGAAGATACATGGAAAAGCTTAATGTGTTTGAGTGACATAAGGAATTTAAAGATGCAGCGGATGATGCTCAACAGCAGACAACCAAGAACAATAATGGTGAATGTTATTATCAATAATGTAAGATGCTGTGTGGTTTAACAAGTGGTCGTGGAGTAGTATGAAAAATGGGAACCAATTAAGAAAAAAATTGGGTTAACTTTTGCTGAGGAATTAGTTATAAAAAAGATTTTTATAAAGTTTGTACCACATTTAGATTATTACATGTATTATGAAGAGGTAAAAAGGTAAGTATCCAATTAAATTACCTTATGTATTCAGCTTATTTATTTTCCTGTAATTTCTGGCTGAGAAGTTCAAAAAGGTGATTACTCAATTAAATTACCTTACCTGTCCTGCTGATTAAGTTTCCTTCAGTTTCTGGCTGTCTCCAGAATTAAAAGCTGAAAAACTAAGATTTTGACTAAGAAAAGACTAAGATGATGTTTGATTAAGAAAGGACTAAGATTTTGTGGTATGAATGATATCCAATGAACATGAGGCATAAACTGAAGAACAATCTGGAAAATGAATTCCTAACCTATGAGAATGTCATCTAAATGAGATTTTGTAGAATCAAATAGGCAGTATTCTGAAAATGACTCGTCTGCTAAAGCCTGAGTAAAAACTTTAAGGCCAGTAAAAATTTTTGAGAAAATGGAAACTTTTAAACTGAGGAATTAAAGTACCATTTGATTGATAATTATTAAGCTTAAATAAAAGAAAAAAAAGTAGAAAAATTAATTTGCAAAAATTTTATTATTAGAAAATATTACAGAACACCCAGATGAATATTTGAGTCTGAGTAAAAACTTTAAGGCCAACATAGAAAATAATATATAAGAAAAAAATAAAAAATTCTTAGAAGGTTGTGTAGGAGCCATTTCTTCGAATTACTTCAAATATTCTTGTTTTCATGGATGAAACGAGTTTTTGACAAAGGGTTGGGTCGGTTTTATACCATTCATCTTCGATAGTAGATTTCAGCTCTGTTGTTGATGTAAAATGTTTCCCATTTGCATAAACTCTTTTTGCTAAGTCACCCCAAAGGTTCTCGATTGGGTTGAGGTCAGGTGATCTAGCTGGCCATTTCACAGTTTCAACATTGTTGACTTGGAACCAATTTTTTGTGCTGTTACTTGAATGGATCAATGCATTGTCTTGCTGATATTTCCAATTTTCTCCAGCAAGAATTTTTACTGGCCATTTGCAAAATGATTTGTTAGGACATTTTGGTATCCTTGTGAATTCATTCTACCTGAAACAAATGCAATTGAGCCCACACCATTGTAAGCAAAACAGCCCCTCCACCTATGACACCTCATGACAGACCCTCGACCTAATTGGCGCTTGGAGAATATTTCTTTTTCATTTCTTATATCATGGCCAGTAGAAATTCCAGCCATCTGGTCCATCCAAAATTCCATTTTTTTTTTTTTCGTCAGAAAAAATAATTTCTATCCATTGGTTGTCCCAGGTCATGACTTTCTGGCCAAAGTTCAAACGCTCTATTTTGTGTCTCTGCAGTAACTGAGGCTTAGTCAATTTTGCTGTATAAGTGAACCTTCCAGACCTTCTAATTGTGTTATAAATCGTTTTTTGACAAACTTTTAAACCTGTCGTCGGAATCAGTTTCCTGGTTGAGTACTTTCCAGTAGATACAAGGTGGCAAACTCTTCTTTCATCACACGAGGACAAAGCTTTAGGTTTTCTCCCAGTATTCTTTTTACCATAATTGTCTTTAAATTTTAAAAAAAAAAAAAATTGTTGACTACAGTCTTTGATCTTCCTATCTTTATCACAATAGCACGACTACTCATTCCTGTTGAAGCCAAAGCTTCGATCTCTCCTCTTTCACGATCAGTTAACTTCTTACCTTTCGCCATCTGTACAAAGATCACCAATACTTCGAAGAAAGGTACGAGAAATATGAAAATTGCAGCATTGTCACAAGCTAGTAGTTGCAATGGTAACTACATGATTATATTATACTTATTTTAAAAAAATGACTGATGGCCTTAAAGTTTTTACTCAGGCAGAAATAACTTTGTAAATAACCACATGTTTCTCACAATTATGTGTTTAAAAATTATGTTTATAGCATTTATTTCTTATCAATGAACTTTAATAATTAATATTATTTGAATCCCTTTTATTTCATTTTACATTTTCTCAAAAATTTTTACTGGCCTTAAGTTTTTACTCAGGCTGTAGTGTACAGTTCTACCTGTATATATTTTTTTAAGAAATTAGATTGTCTTGATTGTTATTTATTTTGCTATGATAATTCCTGCAGTGTAAAGACTTAAATCATAGGAAATTTAAAGGATTGTTAAAAATTATGGTTTTGTAAAGCAGTAAACGGTATTGAATATTTTCAGTTGAATGATGGAAACTATTATAAGAATTTCAAGTTTTTCCCATTAAAAGAAGTAAATGAATTGATATGGAGCATGCAAAATAAATAATTTAAAAAAAAAAATTCACAGTGAGCAGGTAATGTGTCGCATGATGTGTGAAATAATTTATTGTGCTGTGACAAGATTATGAAAATCTACTTTAAGTCATATTGCTGTATTTTCAGACAAGATAATTGAGGGTGAGGAAATGAAGGAAGCCCCTTTATGACATCAAAATGTTCCTGTGTATGATGGCATTTTATTTAAACTTGAAAACTGGAGGAGTTTTAGAAAATCTTGTGCCATTTAATCATTTAGACATAGAAGATTAGCTGCAGCATTATTAAAATTTTCTAGCAAATGAAATGACTACTGAAATGTTCTTTGCTCTTGAGAAGTGATTCTCTGAGACAAGATTACATATTCATTTCTTTTAAATAAATTCTTGTCTACTTTCAGTTAAGTTATATACATTAACTATTAGCTTATTAATATAGTTATTGATTTATCATGTTCAGTATATGATAATGATTGCTATTTTTATAGGCAGTGGTCTTATTTTATATCTAAACTTCTTACTTTATTTTGATTAACCTTACTGGTATCTATGCCTTTTGAATTTTGCAAAACCTAGCTGCTATTGTAGTCATTGATATAAACAACATAAGTTATGATTTTAACTTTTTATTTATGCATAAAAAAGTACTGTATTAAAATGATTTATGTATTTATATGATATTTCTAATAATAATTTGTATATGTGTTCATTATCTTTCACTAGATCTTATGAGGAATGTAATTTTTCTAGGTGCCCGACTGATCTGAGTGTTGACATTTTAACTAAAACACATTGTAGCAATCTTGATTCTGATGCTGAACATTACAAATTCAGATTTTCATTTCAGCTGAGTGAAGAGTTTATCAACCAAAAACTACTTTTACACTGTCGTTTCAGTTCATGTGCCATGCAAGATAACAAACAATTAAGAACTAAACAGGTATTTGTCTGATTAATTTTGCTGTATAGTTTGTGCCAACTGATTTTGTCATATATTATTATATACATGTGAGATAAAATGCATATATGTAAAATAAAAATACATAAAATATAAGTATGTATTATAAAAATATGTAAAAAATATATATAGGTAAGATAAAAATAATAATATAAAATCAGCTTTATAATTTAATTTATCAATAACCTTTTAATTAATCATTTTTAATTTGAGTATTACCTCTCTCTGTTCTTAAAAATAATAATAATAATAATAATAATAATAACATTTCTGAATTGCATCATTTCTAGATAAATCTAAGTTGCATGGCTTATGTAATGCTGATGATGTATCTGATTTGGAACCTAAAACTCAAAATTTCGAGAACTGAAATCTTTCTGACTTAAACCAAAACCTTCCTCTTAGCAATCTTCCATATTTAATAAAAGCACACTTAAGCTTCAACATATGTGCTGCCTGGACACTATCCTGTGCTCTCTTTCTTTCGCAACAGTATCAATGTAAATTTTCTGGAAATAGGTCCAATTAGAGTGTTAAGTGATTTGTGGCCAATTTAAATAAAAATGAAATTTAATCTGCCTCAAGTGCCAAGTTTTTTAGTCATTGTGAATTCCATATTTTTACATTCTATGTAATCAGAATTCTTCCTCTTCAATTATAGATCTACATTCTAAACTATGCATGTGCTGCGTAATCAGTATTTCTGCATCTCAATGCTTCCACTTTATTATTAGATTATGAAAGAGATTATGAAAGCGTTTCTACTTAATGAATCCACATGCTTCATTTTTTGCCCAGATCTGTGAACAATTTCATAGTCAAATTCTTCTAGAAGTAGTGCCCATCTCGCCACTTTAGGAGTTAAATCTTTCTTAAACATGGTCTTCTGGAAAGCATCACAATCCGTAATTATTCTGACCTTAGATCCTAAAAGGTAATTCCAAAATTTCTTCAGAGCTTCTACTATAGCTAAAACTTCAAGCTCATAACTAGATAGCTTCTCTTGTTGGAGACTCGTTTTTTTACTCATGAAGTAAATGGGGTGTAACTGTCCAATGCCAGTGCCGAAACCATGACTGCTTGCGTCTGTATGCAATTCTAATGGTGCTCCTTGTTTAAAAATATGAAGAACCGGACTTGTCGATAAAAGTTCTTTCAATTTATTAAATGCATCTTTTTGTTCAGGCCCAAATTTGAATTCTGCTCCGTTACGAAGAAGATCACTTAGTGGTTTGGCTATTTTTGAATAGTTGGCAATAAATTTCCTAAAATACCCAGTAAGACCCAAGAAACTCTGAATCTGCTTAAGGTTTTTGGGTTCCGGGAAATTTTGAACAGCCCTGGATTTTTTCAGTAGAGGGGCGAATTGTACCATCCTCAATAACATACCCAAGAAATTCTATTTTTCTTTTCAAAAATTGGCCATTTCTTAAAATTGATCTCCAAACCAGTATTCTTTGGCTACTTCTAAAACGCGTTTTAACTTTTCTAAACCTTTGCTTTCTCGTTTCGTGTGCTGGAATAATAAAATCGTCCATGTAAGTAACAACAGTGTCATCCCGAATTAAATCTCTAAACACATTATTAAAAATAAATCTTTGGAAACACACTAGGGGACGTGCACAAACCAAAAGGTGCTTTTAGAAATTCCGTACAAGCCTGCATGAGTAATAAATGCCAAATATTTAGTGCAGTTTTTCTTCACTGGAACATGATAAAAACCATTTTTTAAGTCTAACATCGAAAAAAAAACTTTGCTTTCCCCAAACGATCTAAAACCTCTTCGACTTGTGCCATGGGAAAAGAATCCTTAACTATTTTTTTATTTAATTGCCTGAAGTCAATGCAGATTCGTGTCTTGCCCGATTTTTTTCTACACAAAACAGTTGGCGAAGCATATTCTGAACACGATGGCTTTATAATCCCATCCTTTAACCATTCATCTATTTGATTATCAACAATTTTTTGATTAGCAAAAGGAATTCTCCTTGAACGCTGAGAGAAACTGGAATTTCATCTTTTAATATTACTTTCATTTTTAAGTCTGTACTGCACGGCTTTTCTAACGGTTTATACTCATTAATAGGAGTGGAAACATTATTGCGTAATCCTTCATCTTTAACATGCGATAAATCTGTTTTACTGTCTGCCTCAATGGCTGCAGAAATAAAAGACAAAAAATTCGTTTCCGACGCGACGGAATCATTTTCATATTGCGTAAACATCATTCCCTCAGAAGAGATGCAAGCTAGACTCGAAGGCGGTATCACACATTCTGTTATTAGGTCAGAGAGCATTGCTGTTTCTATCTCTTTTTGTTTTTTGCTTTCGCATAAAGAAAAAACAAACTTCGCCGTTTCTGCTTTAACCACGTGACCAAACGAACTTTTGAGTTCTATACATCCACTTGATAATTTATTCGGAAAAAGAGATTTCTTTACAACTATCAATTCACTTCCAGAATCTATTAAACATTTAACTTTCTTACCATCAATCAACAGTTCAATAAATTCTAACTTATTTCTAGCTGCATTATCCGATTCAATCTTTAACCCAGATACCTTTTTTGGAGACAAACTTTCCTTCTTTTCTAAATGTTTGAGACAATTTCTCGCAAAATGAAACAATTCCCCTTTACTTCCACATACATAACAAATACGTACTGTTTACTGCTACTCTGATTTACAAGCTTCCCTAAATCCTTGAAATTGCTCTGAGCTTTTCTAAGATTGTTTCTGGAAAAATTAGGCTTTTTATTTTCTTTTCTGGAGTTTCGATTTGTGTGTTGCTGGTATCAAGTTAAAGATTTACCCCTGGATGAATAAAATAAATCACATTTTCTCTCCCCAACTGATTTGGTTGGAACCAACTCTGGCCCTCCCGAACACTAATATGTTCCTTGGTTTTAGATTCAAGAGTTTCATACAACTTATCAGATACAATAAGATCTTAAAGTCATCTACCTCTCTTAACTTACAATAATAATTGAAAGTTGCACTGAGTCGAGATGCGAACTGAACATGCGATTCAGATGAATGTCTCTGTGCACTTTCAAAATTGTTCAAACATTCACGCGCTGTTGGCTGAAGTTCTTTCAAGATTAGAGTTTTTAATTTATCATAATCTGTGATTTCTTGTTTAGAAATATATGTTAAAATATTATTACATTTATCACCTAATATATTAACACTAGAACAGCCGAATTTCAGACTAACCGAGAACTGCCATTGGGGATCAATTTGACCCTCATAAGAAATGTAAGTAGAAACACAGTAAATGATTTAAATGATGCTGAAATGACCACATAAAAGAGTTTTTAGAGGTTTTTATTTATTTTTTTATACTTTAGAATTTTTTTTTCGTGCAATTAGCGCAAATTAGCACATATCTTTCAATGTAAGATTACAAAAATAAAAAGAAAATCTTTGAAAAAACAAACAAAGATACAAATGCAAAAGAGAAAAAAGAACATATGCAAAAAATTACAAAAAACTAATTGAGAATAAACAATTTTTTCCAAAGTTTGTTATACATTACCACAGTGATACAATATGAACGCTTGACAGTGACAGCAACACATTTACCACAAATTGGTTTCTGGCATCCCTCACATCTGACAACAGTCTTGTTTTGTCCCTTGCAACTTTAAAATGCACATTTCTTTCCTTTAAGTGTCTGTATTTGAGCAATTGGGGGGGGGCATCTGTTGCGTAGTGCACCAACTCGTAGTTCTTCCATGAGTGCAAGAATAAATTCTCGACAGGAAATAGAGGTGCCCAAAGATCCTTTGAATATAATCCACGCATTGAGTTCAGCCACGTCAAGGACGTTGTAAAAAACATGTACAGGCCACCTGTGACTTCCACTACTTGTACTCTATTTCCTCAGCATCTCATCTGCGACATCAATGCCACATTTTGTACTGTTGGTAAGTGACAGTGTTCGGTTTTTCTTTATGCTGTCGTCAACGAACACATTACTGTGCATCGTGCTCAGAATCACGTCATTCTTTCTGCTCTTGCACCTTATATATTGTGAGTGTTTTGTCTTCCATTTTTTCAGTGCAAAAGATGAATATCGTGCCGAAAGAAGTGTCATGAGCAATAGGGGGTAATTCTCGCTTATTCAGACGCATCGTCTCCCGACAATTGTGGTTTTTTTCGCAGAAAGTTCATCTGCAAGTTTCACAGAAGTAAAAAAAAAATTGGTCAGTTGTGACATTGAGTCCGGAGTTTAGATGTGGTTGCAGTAATTTGAGAACTTTCCCCAAGTTGTAAATTAGTTGGTCATTCTTCATCCTTGCCTAGATAAGGATAACCATTCAAAACATATTTGGATTTTACATCAGTTGCTAGCCAGAATTTGATGCCAAACTTGTCCAGTTCATTCGCCATATACTGAATAAATCTACATCTTATTTATTACATCTTGATTTACAAGGCAACAATTGTTCATCAACGGTTATTTCTGGTCCAGGATAATAACATAAATAACAGTTTTCCATTAGCTTGTACCAGGTTACAGAAGCGAGAGCAAATTTGTTAGTGGTGAGACGATCAGCTCTGGTGCTTCGGACATCGAGTCTGAGATACCGCATTATTTCACGGAACTGATTGCGTATTGTTTCTTTGAACACAGGTGGTCCTCAATTCTTGTTCCACAAATCATCTGCACAAAGTTTTGAATGGCCTAGTGCTCCTAGTGTTGTTTTTCTTATGAGGGTCAAAATGACCCCAGTTGGCTGTTTTAGGTATATCTGCGATTATTTGTTTAAATAATTAACGTAGAAATATGAAAAATTGGCATAGTATACTTGGAAACATTTTAGAAAAAGTAAAAAAATATCAGCTTTGAAGCTCAGCTGTATGTTAAAAAAAAAAAATGCGTAAAATTGGAAAAAAAGGTCAAAATGACCCCAATGGCGCTTCTAGTGTTAATCAACACTTCTGATTTTAACTGCACTGGTATGCTTTTAGTAGTGA